GCCGTAGTCGTTAGACCATTGGCCTCGCATCCCTACAAAGCCGGGACGGAGCACGCCGGGTTCTCACAGGACCAGGCCCTCACGTCACCAGGCGCGAAGCGCCCCAGGTGGGGGAACGAAGAAATAAGGAGGGTTGCACTAGGAGGGGAATGGAACGAGTATTTCTTGTCGCTGTGGCGTGTGATAAAAGGGTACTCATGTACTGGCATGCCGTAGTCGTTGGACCATTGGCCTCGAAGTCCTGCTGGGACGGAGTGAGCGAAGGAAAAATGAGGGCTAGGGGGGGAATGGAACGCGCGCACCACCCTCGGATTTTCGTTGTTGTGGCATGTGATAACAGGGGTACTCATGTAAAAGGCATGCCATTGGCCTCGCATCCTGGCGCCGGCGGAGCCGGTCACGGGAGGGCTCTGCTCGCCTCTTGGGATACGGGCTCTCTGCCGCACGGCGGGGTCAACCTCGCAACTTGTTGGTCTCCAAAGCTGGCCCGTCCTTACATTCATTTTCGTCCCACTCTCTCTGTTTCAAGTACTATTCCACGTTGTCTAGCTTGCCTCCTCCTTTCTGCACTAGGACAAAATGACTAACTCCCGACGAAATGCTCCAAATCCGGGACCCCAGAATGCTGCTATAACAAGGAACTCCTCAGGCAGTTCGGTGCTTTCAGTAAACAACATTTTTTTGCTATCTACGTTTTGAACAAACCTGTCTTTTGTTCACCTGAGCGAGATAACGTAGATGGCACTGTATGAGGTGTTGCTTCCGTGTCTAGCACCTAAATGTACCTGTTTGATCCCTCTTTTTTTTTATTTTTCCCCCTCAGCGAGAGCAGCATCGAATCGAAATGACACACCTTCACCCCCCCCCCCCCCCCCCCCTGTTGCTTGCGCGACGAAAACACTTTGGTGTGTTTGTGTATGACAGGAGATCTGGTTCTGCGAGGAAGACGACGGCGATGCTCTCCTCCCTGCCGCAACTTCCAAGGAAGCCTCCGCTGCCGCTACGGGTTCCTCGTCTCTTGCGCGGGAGCTCCCCGTCGAAGGCGAGGAACGTGGGCAGGGGGAGCGGGGCTGCGGCGGCGGCCGCGGCGCAGAGCGCGGCCGCCTCGATGGCGGTGAGCCTGGCACCTCCACGGGGTTGATGATTTTGTTGGTGTTGATGCTGGATGCTGCTGTCGTTGTTATGCTGCAGCTGTTAATCCTAGTGCTGGTGTTGCTATTGCTGCTGCTGCTGCTGCTGTTGATCTTGCTGCTGCTGCTGCTGCCGTTGTTTAATTGTTGTTGCCGGGGGGATGGTCTTGCTGGGTAGTCGAGACGTTGACATTCGGGGAGTTGCTGTTGCTGTTGTTTTCGTTACCAAGACTACGATGATGGTCTTTCTACACTACTTGTAGCAAGATGCTCGGGAGCTACCGCTGTGATGACTGGCACGACTCGCTTGTTTTAATGGTTGCAGACATCTCTTCCTTCCTCGCGAACGCAGTCTATCTTGGAAAACCGGGCACCGGATCAGGACATCGCACGACATCGTCTGCGCAGATTTTTTTCTTGTGAAATCGCACTCCTCTGCTGTTCCTTTTCTTGTACCCTCGTGCTTGTACCCGAACATGGACACTGCTGAACGCTTCTCGGACACACGCACGATATTTTGGCGTTCAGGTGACTGCCGTAGCGGTGCAGGTGATGGAGGTGGTCCACGGGGTGAAGGACAACGATTGGCTGGTGAAGCTGCTGAGGGGCATGATCTGCGGGCCGGGTGCCGGCGACAAGCAAAAGAAGGTGCGTCACACGATGCAGCGACGCGTGCAAGTAGCGGGCCTTACCCCGGAGGGAACGACAGAAAAAGGTACAGGTTGCGTGGTCTGACCGGACAGGCGGTGGACCGACCCAGGAGGAGCAATACGGGAAGTCTTGAGATCGAGAGTGTCCATCACCACAGATGCCGAAAACGCCAATGATGGCAGTGACAAACGCCAATGATGGCAGCGACAGCAACGAGAGGGAGAGAGAGGTGTTGGTGCGTTTGCATCGTGCCTGCTCGCCAGGTTTGGCGCTACTGCTGTACTGCTGTCCACCTCAGGGCAAACCGACAAGCTATTTTGAGCACCACCCCCACCACCTAGAGCAGCAATGACAACAATCCTCGCACCATCAACAAGACTGTTTCCACCCCGGTTGTTGCCTTAGAGTGTCCGTCTTTGTGTACCCCGCTTCTTTTTTTCTTCCCTGTTGCAGGAAAGCGGGTTCCTTGGGAATTCTGTTATGCTGTTGCCTCACAGAGCTGGCTGAATCAACAAGTCGTTTCGACCACCACCACCACCACCGCCACGCAGCACCATCAACAAGATTGTTTCCGCCGAAGTCGTTGCCTCGGTGTACCCTCATCGGGCACCCCTCTAGTGTTTTCTGTTGTCGCCTCATGGTACCCTCCCTGATTGTGTACCTTTTTCTGTCGTGTCGCCTGTTCGGACCGCTCTTTCTCCGGCGGCCGCCAGGACCGATCCAAGAAGCGAGAGGCCTCCCTCAGGAGATGCAAGGCCCTGGTACAGGCCCTGGTGAATGTCCAGCTCGGTCTCGATGAGGGGGTCAGCGCCGTACCCCCCGGTACCGGAAGGTGCGGTCTGTGCTTTTGACGCTTAGTGTGTGGACGTTCGGGTACAGCAGTAGCATCGGAAGAGCGGAGAGTCTTCCCTTCTTTTCTACTTTTCTTGTTCGTGGTGGTGTGTTGGTGGATTGTTGTTGTTGTTGTTGTTTTTTTTTACGGCATGGCGCCGAACACGAAGATTACGGAGCTGAGGCAGAGGCCAACCCTTGACGCTAAAGCAGAACCCCCGGGTGCTTAAGTGTGCCCCTCCCCGCCCGTCACCACGTTGCCTTCGCGCCCCCCCCCAAAAAATACACAAAGCAGTCCCCTTGAGGAACTCCCGCAGCAGCTGCTGGCCTGCGTGGCGACCCTGGGGGTTCTGTGCCGTGCCAGCCCCTCCCTCCTGGCCCCCCACGTGCAATCCCTTCTGCCTTACCTCAAGGGGGAGAACGGTCTCACCGCCGCAGAAGAGTCGGAGATCTGCAGACAGGTGGGGCTTTTTTGTTTGTTTGTTCGTGGTGTGTGTTGTTTCGGATGTCGGATGTCGGGCGGAGACATGTAGGCAGGCAGCTGAGGCGTACTTTTCGTGTTTTTCGTTTTGTTTGTTGTGTTGCGGTGGTGGTGGTGGTGCTCTCGCCGCTGCTGTGTTTTCTGCGTCCAGGTGTTGGGTTTGGTTGCGGCACCTGGCTCGCTCTGCTTGCGAGCCCTGGTTCATTGTGTGCTGTTGTTGGTGGAGGTTGTCGACATGTTGCTTTTGACGCCCTATCCCGGTGGTCTTTTGTGCCCGTCGTCGTAAACCTCTCATGCTTTGTGCTATTTTCTAGCCCTACGTTTGTCTATGCGCCTCATCTCCCACAACACAGATGGCATGCCATATACTCACAAGATGAGTGCGTACCCCTTCCTTGCCTTCCAATCCCAACCTCCCGCCCTCCCTTCCTTCGCGCACAGGTGTCAGACATGGTGTACGAGGCGCTCCCACTCATGAAGAATCCCGACTTGACGCAGATGACAGAGCTGGCTGACGATTTGGTCCAGCTGGCCTACCGCTTCGGCTCTGCCGTCGTGCATGCCTCTCTACGGTGCCTAGCTAGGTCAGTTGTTGTCGTTGTTGTTGTTGTCGTTGTTGTTGTTGTTGTTGTTGTTGTTGGTGTCTTAGGAGTTGAGCGCCGTTGTGAACGCTATCCAGGACGTCTTGCTTTCGTTGTACTGCCTTCCCAGTAGAGACACACGAATACTGTCGTCGTCACAGCGCACAGTACCTCGGGCAAGCCTAACTGGAGCCCCGATCCTGATCCCCGTGCACGCCCTCTTCCACGTCCAAACCCCGCGTTCACTCTACCAAGTCCCATTCCAGTCTGTAGCGTTGTGGGTGGAAAATATTTGAGTCAGAGTCAGGTGGAACGATAGTGCCGATGACTTTTACCTTGGGGTTCGTTGCAAAAATAGAGCGCAGAGGATGCCGATGAAAAGTACACGGATTTTTTTTTCAATGCAAGAATCAAGTTTAAATGTCCCGATTTGTGGTTGTTTTTTGACAATTTGTGTGATTTCTTTCTTGTCCCTGTACCCTCGCCGAAATGGGGCGCAATGTGGCCATGATTGGGCGGACTGATTTTTTCCCAGCCGGTGGCCCATGCAGGGTAACGCGCAAAAAATATGAACTAAAACAATGCTCAAGATTTCGAGAACATCATCGCCGGAGGTATCGGACACGGTTATGTACTCGTGCAAACACAACGCTACAGCAGTCTTATCACTGCTGCTCGCCGCGGGCACACTGTTCGTTCAACTCGAATGTTTCAGATGTTTTTCTTTTTTTGGGGTGTGTGTGTGGTATCTTATATTTCACCATGTCACTTTATCAAGAGAGTTGTTTTATGTTCTGGGCCCATGTTGACCCCGCTTGCGGCATTACGTGGGCTGTGCTCTGTGAATGTGTCATCAACTGCGGTGCTTGTGCTCACTGGTTGGTTGCCCCTCTCCCCTTATCGCCGCCCTCCGCGGTTGGTTGGCTTTCCCGGTTGCAGGCTGGTTCGATTGGTGACGCACGACGCCAAGCCCCTGCTGAGCCTTCTGCAGTCGTTCTACTCGAGCCTGCACCGGCATCGGACTGACGTGCAGCACCACCAGGTGATTCGCTCGGCTTAACAGCTTTGCCGACCTTCGCTTGCCTCCCCCCCGTTTCGTACAGTAAATGTGGTGTGGCGTTTTTTTTTGCATCACCATGATGTTGCGGGGCTCTGGGTCTCGTCGATGACGACGCGTACCGGGTTTCTTGTTCATCCCTGGTACCCTCCCCCGCCTTGTCCTAGCTGTTGCTGTGGTGGGAGTAATGATGGTTGTTAATTTTGCGGGTTTTGGACCTCATCGTGTACGTTTCCCTGCTGCCCTATCCCGCCCCCTCCCTATTGTTTCTGTCGTGATGGTTCTTTGTATTGCGGGGTTCTGGATCTCACCAACGATGATGGTTACCGGCTCCTGCGTGTTGCCTTGCTGCCTTACCCGCCTCGCCTTCTCCACGCTGTTGTCATGGTGATGGTTCTGGATGTCTCACCTCACCGACGATGATGATTCCCGGCTTCTGCGCGTTTCCCTGCTGGCCTCCCCCCCCCCCCCCCCCCCCCCCCCCCCCCCCCCCCCCCCCCC